CACTCATCCGTCTCAAATTTCCGATGCCTCCCGAAAAACCAGCGAAGTTAAATAAACACGGCAAAAAACATCGAAATTTCGAGGAGGCATCAGGCTACTAAACCCTGGGGCTCCTTGCCAAACCGTGCAAATAATCAAACACTGACACATGTTAAAAGCGAGAGAAATGGTCTAATTTGGAGACTCTGCTCGAACTGACGCGACTAACAACGTGTGCATAATGAACGGATCAAATTAGGCGGTTTCCGGAAGATCAGAGGACATGCATATTAGCACCGTCCCGCAGGGCCGAGGGGGACGGAACGCGCTGCATGTGCAACGTGCATCTCCGATAGCTAAATCCGCGCAGGTACTCAATGAAGTTTGCTAATATTAATTTATGAACTGTTGCTAATCTTTTGGGGATTTTTCGGAGCGCAACGTCCGAGGGGGGAGGGGGGAGGGCGGGATAACAATGCGCACAATGCGCAATGGCGGTGGCTTATGTAAATCGGGGATTAAGGCTGGCTTCTCGGTGGAGCGCGAGCGGTGGCTGCCCATTGTTCCCGCGGAACATCTCTGTTTTCGGCCCGAATGTTTGTCGAAAGAAGTGGAGGGTTTGTCCGCGCTGGGTGCGTCGCAAGTCGGCGTTACAAGATAATCCGGGGGAACTTGATCGCAAGATAGCCGAATCTGGCCCGAGTCAAGTCAAGTTAAGTTGTCCATGTTAACTTCGAAGCTCCATTTAGTCTTTACTTTTTATCTACGGAGGATGTAATACAAATTAATTAAATTTTGCAATAAGGAACCACTATATCTGACTCCTCCATAAAAGCACGTATCTGCACAGAGAAATCAACGGAATTTTTATGTTGTTTCTAAAATGAGCTAGAAATAGTGGTTCCTTATCGCAAAATGTAATAACCAAACGGGAGTTAAGAGGGCTGTGCGTAGAATTCTCGTTGGAAAACCAGAGAGAAAGAGACCGCTAGGTAGGCCGCACGGCAACGGTGGGAGGACAACGCAAGAAATGGCGTTGGAAAGGTAGGATTTGATCAGTCGCGTAGGAGAGAATTGACATAAGATAGAGAAGAATGGTGCACATGTGCTGTTGCGGTTATAAACTCTCGAATTTCTAATACCGTTTGGAAAAAAAAGAGGAGAAAAATTCGATCGAATTCATTTAGTTGTGTAGGGATGGTTTTGGTTTATGAAATCATTCATCCCAGAAATCTCCGTTGAAATACCCATGCATGTCAATGATAATTTAATTTTGGATTTCTCTAGAATCGTCTCTCAGAAGAAATTCGATATTACACACTAAGAATGAAATTGATAATTAAATTTGGTTTTTTGTCACAATGTCACAATACGTCGAGAGACTTAAACGATGGAGTAGAAAAATAAACCAGAAATCCGCGAATTTTGATCCCGAAAAGTTTGACCGCGGTGCAAAAATCAGCCAGAATTTATTTGAAATTATAATACATTTTTTCCGTAGAGTGTGCCCTTCGACGCAAGTACGCGACTGCAAACTTTTAAATCTATAAAATTGGTCCTCGTCTCGAAATTGTTAGATAATGAGACGCATTTAAATTAGTAAGAACTATATCCATTTGTAACATGAGTCCTGGCATGCATTGATTCTAATTGATCTCAGGGCTCACGTCGGATATTATTCATTTTGCTTTAAATCCGTTAAATACTGCCATGTTAGGGAAGAACTCCGTATGAACCTTCAGACGTTGCCAAATTTGACGTGATAAAACGAGCATTTCCTGATAAACTTGTAAATATTTTTCCTCCAATTTTTCAGGCAATTTCTTTCGGAGTCAAAGTTAAAATATCTGAAAATTCCCATGAAAAATACTCGTAATTTTCTTAAAAAATGAATATATTCTAAATGGAAATTTGGCGATATTCGAACGCTCATGCGGCGTTTTTTCGTAGCGCGGCTGAATAGACAAGTTACCCACGGGGTTGGGAGCAAAGGAGAGTCTGGATGAAAAGAAGTCGAACAGCACGATACTTTTTTGGAAACAAGATCAGACCTGTTCGGCCGGGAATCATCTTTTCAACAGCTTCAACTTGATTGACACCGTTTCAGGTGTTTCGAGAGAAGGTCCCCCGTCCGACGAGCCCACCTCTCGCACGGTTTCCAGCGATTTGGGCAAGCGATAACGGGTCCGAATGTAAATAAACGCCACTCCTGATTTATGGTTGTCTACTCTCCTTCCTACCTTTCCCGGTGGATCTCAATCTTTTGGATTACCGTAAAATTAATGTTTCAAGTGCCTGTTTTGACAATAAGAGTCCTCTGGACGCATTAAAATTATCATTTTGGAGAAAAATTGACTCCTCGTCGCGACTAATGACCAATTTTATTCGATGCCCATCTGTAGCTCGTCTCTAGTTTCGTTCCTTGGGTCTTTTATGTGAAAGAAACAACACCCGTTTACGACGATGAAATAGCTTAGAAAGGACGTATATGCGTGAGGAGTCTAGGGCAGGTAGCTGTTTTTTCTGAATGGTTGGATATTTTGTAGATCTAGGACCTGTGATACATCGTTTAGATAGCAAATTTATGGCCGGTTGGTCAGTAGGACCGGATTTTCTTCGCATTAAAGGCTATGTTTTTTTTACCATCTACAAAATTGCGTAAAGATATGGACCTGATTGTTAGTAGTTTCCTGTGACGATGTTCGAAAAAACACAAAAGTGGCGCTCCAATTTTGAGTGCAGTAACTATGGGCATTATAAACACACTGTCCTCGTTCCGGGCTCAGTGACAGGAACTGCAGTTTTAAAATGTGGAGCTTATGGCCTCTGTGTATAGACCTCCGGCCTTTGAACCTGAAATGAGGGCATTATTTCTGTACAACCCAGAGTTACGGTTCTCAGACCCGGAATTCCTCTCAATGAATCAAACGTCGTAACTCAATTTATTACTTTATTAAAATTAAAATTTGACAGTAGAGAAGGAGGGAGGGCACGTTCCAACAACAAAGTTCATTACTGATAAACACGGATACAAACATGTTTGTGGTTACGAGAACCCTGATTATGATGACCAGGTAATTGAGTAACTAATACTAGATTTATGTCGGTATAAGTCGTGCATCTGATGATGATTACCCGTGTGATAAACTATGTCATAATCCCCTACCCCCGATTTGCTTTCCTTGGAATCATACATAGTCAAGGATTTGGAAACTGATAAAATCCCGTTTTTAGTAGAGTACCTGTATAGCGAGAGTATGGACAGATGTGAAACTCCGAAAATCTATCAGACCTTCACCGATGCTTCTGTGAATAAAGTTAGGGCCCAGAAATGCGGCCAACCTATGAATTTCAATTACCCAGAACAATTTACTAATACTATTGTTAAGAACCGTCGTTTATGAAGCACGTATTTGACTCAGTTTTTGCATAAATTTACTCATTTTTGCGGAAGAACGCTCATTTCTGTACATTCTTAACCATCTTGGTTAGAATTGGAATCTGCAGACTTTGCAGACTGACAGAGAAATTTTGTGTGTCAGAAGTTTGTTAGAAGGATGGCTGCACTTTTGAGTCCTAAGACCTCCATGAATCGATCCATCCATACTCGCTATACATAGGTACTCTAGTTTTTAGTGGATATCTTTAGGAACTTTAGGAAGAAAATGATAATTATAAATTAAGAGGAAGAAGAAGGAGGAGGAGGAGAAGAAGAGGGAGAAGAAGAAGAGGACGAAAAAAGATGGAAAATAAGAAAAAGAAAAAGAAGCAGAAGAAGAAGATGATGATGATGAAAAATATGAGAAGGAATCAACTCAAAAACATATGGGTGCGTAATGGAGGGAGAGGTTAAAATCTGCCCCGATTTTGACGGATTATTCCGAGGATACGCTGCCAATCACCGATCAATTAGAATGGAAATTCCGTTCTGAAACGTGCGAGTCGGATCGAAAAAAACCAAGTGAAGATCACGTTCGATGATGCGTTGCCTGAGAGATAAGGCCGCATATTCAATTTAAATAATTTACCCGGGGAATTCAAATTAAGAAAGCTCGATGATAAAAAATTCATGACAGTGTTTCCAGATCGATAGGAGGCTCATCATCGGGAAGGGGACCGAAGGATAAAGACGCGAAGAGTTTATAAACACGCGAGGTAATTCAGACGCAGACAATAGGGCACCAAAAATTAAAAATTCTGTTTATCGATTGATTGATATCAGCCCCTGCACTGTTGTCAAAATTATAAAAAAACCGTGCTCATGATTAAATTATTCATTAACAGTAAGGTGAAAGTGCTTTTTGCGGTCTTGACGGATGCATTTTTTTGAGCACACGCATGCCTACCGAGGGAAGAGGCTGATTTCAGAGTGCACTGAAAAAAAAATCTCGGTGTATTTACTAAGAAAAGGGTAAAATTACCAAGAATTCAGGGTTCTATTTGATCCCAGTTTTTTCTAGGTAAAATTATCATTTATGGAATTGGTAATTTTACCGAGAATCTCGGTAAAATTATTGAACTTTCTCGGTAATTTTACCGGACCTTGGTAAAAACGCCAATATTTTTTATCGACTGTGGTAGAATTACCGAGATAAAATGTCAAAGTTACCGGGCATTGATTACCAATAAAAGTGGTATTCTTACCTGAAAAAAACAGTAAAAATACGGGTTTTTAGGTAAGCTTACCAGACTGTCTTGGTAAAACTACCAATAATTGGTAAAAAAAAGTAAGATGGTAAAGGTACCAACGGACCTTGGTAAAAACGCCGAGAATTTTTTTTCAGTGTAAGAGATAGATAAGTCTGAAGTCCTCATAATCCGTGAGTATTACCACGGGTAGTACCCACGAATGGCGCATCATCTTAAATTAACGTCTATCTTTATCTCGGTTTTAGCCTCAAAAGTTTATATGGGATATACCGATATATTTGTCTCATTTCATTGTTAGTACCTTATCACGCCCAACTTTATCTACTCATCTTAGAAAAGTAACTTTGATTTTTGAATTGTTACAGATGAACTTTTCATCAAGAAGATTATTCTTGTCGCGCAAATTGGGAGTTGATGCTATCTTGAATTCCTGGAGGACAGACGATTTGGGATCTGTTCTGTGACCATGAATAAAATGCTTCAAAATTTGCATCATCATACTGCATCACCAGTTGAACGAACTTTCAAAAAAGGTAACATTTTTGAACTTTTGAGATTTTTTTTTTTTTTAAATTTTGGGTGTGATTTTTTTTTCCATTATTGGTATGTATGGCGTGATATAAAGTTTTTCCTTCTTTTGCCTGAGCCATGAATGAATGGATAAGTAAATTAACAAAACAATGATTTTTTAATGTAAATTGAAAAATATAATTTTTAATGATGCCACTATAAAAAACTAAAAGTCATCATGCAACATCGAGGTCTTTCATTGGCCGAGAGAGGTTTGAACTATCAATAACTTCTGGATTTTTAAGAGAACATTATTGAACATTATTTGAACATATTTAATGGATATTTTCAGGGTAAGGAAACGCTCAAAAAGTGATTTTTTTATTTTCCTCACCCTTAATTTGGGTTTTCAATAAGATCTTCGTTCACGTATGCATGGTGGTTGGGAAAGATATCTGCGTCAAGAGCTGTTTTATAATAATGATGTGACAACATTCATCGGGACTCATCAGCTCATCAGGTAACGGTTCGACGCGGGCTGATGGATGATGGATTGATAGAGTGATGGGTGCACGGCCCGGCGTGCCTGGAAACTGCGCAAAGGTGGAGGCTTGAAGGGGTTAGGGTCTCGCGTATTGTTTATTGACACTGTGTTACATCGTATCGAGTAAGGCTCGATTTTGATGAGTGCTTGTTGTTAATATTTCATTTAAATAATAGGTGCAATACATCAGCCCCAATGTTGCCATCTTCATTCTGGAATTTGGCGGCGAATTTTGGTAGGTGCGAGAAAATTAAATGGACTATTAGACTGTTATCTAAAAAACCGATTTTTACGGATAAAAATCGACGAATTAAGGATATTTGTGAAATTAAATGGTTTAATCAAAAGACAAATGTGTGAAATGGCCTTATAGACCGATGGTCGCTCGAAACGCGTTAATTTACAACACAAAATCCTAGTATATACAGGGCAATATGTATAAATTACATAACGCACTGGAAAAAAATTACATTGGATCTAGAGTCCAGACTCTTGAAAACATTGACAAGAAATAGGACTCTTGATTCAATCAGATTTATGCTTAAATCAAAAGGAAATCCGCTTAAATTAAGAGGCTTGGTTCTTGATTTAAGCTTATATCTGATTGAATCAAAAGTACTTTTTCTTGTCGATGTTTTTAAGAGTCTGGACTCTAGATCCAATGTGTTTTTTTACCTAGTGCGCTTTAAGAGGGAGGGGGCTGGGGTCGGGGACAGTGTTCCGCCATTTTGTTTTTCTCTGTCAAAGAAAAGGGACCTAAGTGATAAAAGCCTTGTAAGGGGGGGGAGGGGGTTGAAAAATTCCGAAAAAATAGCGCAACGTAATTTATGAACGCTTCCTAACCGTGTTAACGGCCAGTGTCATCTATCCACGCGCGCAAAAATTTAGCTTTAGAAAATAAAAAAAAAAAATTTCTTACATCTTCATTTTCATCCGCTGGCCCGAAATTCCAGGCCCGCAACAATAATTAATTTTTACTCCGGACTCGCCGTGCGCTCCCCGCGGCACCTCGACAGGTGCATTACCCACTCGAAAAGGGGACCCTCGCCGGGGGGGGGGGGCAAGGNGGGGGGGTTGGCAAGGGGGTAGCGGGTTGCAATTCGATACCGCGAACAGTAACAATCGGCCCGTCGCAGAATGCGAGGAACGCCGATGTTGTACTAGGACAACTCTAGCGTGTAATTACATTATCTGACACCAGGGAGCGGCAAAAATTGATTGAATTAAAGGTGATCAGTTCAGACAGCTCATTGAATCCCTCTCCTGAGTCCCGAGTGACGTGTACAACGGTCCCTGGTCTGCTTGGGGTGGCGTTGCGTCTGTCGGGAAGGGTGCCGTCCACGCGGAAGCACCGGCGTATTTCCGAACGTTATGATGATGGATATAACCCTATCTCCCTGGCATCTTTTTATCGAATTAGAAGCCGGTGTTATGTTGGAAAATTTCATGACGCTCGGATAGCAGGCCTCCGTCCTTGTTGTTGAGGAGGGGGGACTCTTGTAGGTTGACGTCCTAATAAGCGGCGAGAGTGATGGGGATATTACCGCAAGTTTTTGAGGGGCGGTCTTCGAGAGGACTGATTTTAGCCCCTGATAAGGTGGCGAGAGCTTAATAACGTTCTCTCTTTAGAGACACTTTTGAAGTCAGCACAAAAACACTGGGAAAAAAACACATTGGATCTAGAGTCCAGACTCTTGAAAACATGGACAAGAAAACGGACTCTTGATTCAATCAGATTTAAGCTTAAATCAAAAGGAAATCCGCTCAAATTGAGAGGCTTGGTTCTTGATTTAACCTTAAATCTGATTGAATCAAGAGTATTTTTTCTTGTCGATGTTTTTCAGAGTCTGGACTCTAGATCCAATGTGTTTTTTTTCTAGTGAATATGTGATAAAAAAAAAATTGGCCATGTTTTGGACTCACTTGCACTTTTTTTTATTTTTGCGAACGCGTTTCGAGGGCTCTGTCCTCATCATCAGCGATAACCCGGGGCTGACTTGATTGGAGGAGGTGTTGTTGTTATATGATTGACTGATTTCTTTAGACAAGACTTTGGCGCGGAGAAATAAATCTCGCAAGCTTTTTTCAGTCGATTACCAAAATACCTATTTTGGGGCCTTTTCTTTTATCCTTACCGACGTAAGGACTTAAGGTGGAAACTCACTAAGAGCGGAACGGACCGACCAACGACCATCGGCCGACGTCCACCGACGACCGACAAGATTGCTCTACGTGTAAATGAATGTGTCGCAACGCACTTAGACCGGAAGGGACCGGTGCCGTGCATTTCTAATAAACGTGTCTGTCCGCTCGGATTGCCTCTAAGAGCAATCTACCGACAACCGGCAACCGTCCGACAGTCAGTCTGTCCCAGAATTTCTATAAAAAATTACAAAAAGTTGCGTCCCCGTTAGCAAAAAGTGATGGAATATACATTTAGAGTACGTATTTCAAATGAGGGGGTAACCAGTCGCACTAAGGCAATTTTGAAAATAAATAATAGTTTTGTTTCAATTAGAAAGACCAAAATATTGGCCCAACCTCTCAAAGTCGTACGTCATTTTGAGATTTTAAACTCGTCTTTTTCGATATTCTAAACTTTGAGCCCTTGTCTTTCAATTCCCTCATACTGTAATCACATTTCTTTAATAAAATGAAAGAAGAAAATAAAAATAATGATTGAAGAAGCGCACGGACACCATCTGACAAACGACGCGGTCGGACGCAGTGATTAGTTTAAACATCTTCCGTTGCCCGTTTGCCGGTCGTCGGCGGTCGTCGGCCGTTGGTCGTTGGTCGGTCCGCTCCGCTCTTAGTGAGTTTCCACCTTGAGCCTGTCACTCTTGTTTGAGTAGAACGTGACTTTTCTTATTGCAAAAGCTACACGGTTTACAACCACTCGGATACCAAAATGGTTGAAATTTGACAAAACAAATCAGAGTTTGGTCAAATTCACACGCCATAATACAAACTCATAAGGATAACGCGTAACACATAATACATGAGGCACGAAGCACTATGAGGGGATGGAACGCGAAGCGGTCAGGGAGCGTACCCCCAGTCTGATACTAATTTAATGAAAATTGCAGCCTATAATAATGAACATCTTATGATGACGTCATGAACTGTCATGATATATTTACAACGTGGCTATTACTCCAAATCAGCCGAAATTATTATCTAGTAATCCACTAAAATGTGGCCATCATCGAATTATTTAATATTTATTTGCCGAAAGCAGGATGATCTGTAAAGAAACGTATCGTTTCGAACCTCTTTTCTACTATTTGCATAGTAGAAAGTGAAATTCAACGATGGCTTGAATGAAATTGCACACGAGAGAGGTATCACAATGATTTATGTTGATAAATCGCCGGAGACTTAAACGCTGGGCTAGAAAAGTAAACCGCCGTACGAAAAGGGCACCAAAATGGTTCTGTGCTTTCCTTTTGTTATTTCGCTCCAAAATGAAAATCTAAGGTGAAAACTAAATTAATTTAGATTTTGTAACTTTAATTGTGCTCAGATTAATTTGCTTTTAAGCGGCCCCACATTGATCAAAGTGACATTTTAACATCTCTTGAAGCTTGCCGTTCAACACCAGGGAGGGTACCAACCTTGAAAAGCTCCTCGATCCTGATTTCTTACTCTAACGCCGACAAATTTATGACGTCACTGCCTTAAAATATGTCATTATAGTAATAATACGAAGAAAAAATATTCACCATGTAAAGGTGTTTTAATGTTTGATGAAAGAAAAATTATGTAAGAAGTTTTAATAAACCAATTTTAAAAGAGGATCATTTTGACTTAGAAAATGATCATTTTGAAATCGAACCGATCATTTTGATAGATTACTAATGTATTTCCTCTACTTCGCCGTATCGCCACTCGTAATGAATGTACTGGCAACGTCTAAAAGAGTTCGCATGTGCAGAAACCCTCTCAAATCGGACATTTTGTCGTAGGCATTTAAATAAATTTTCCATCGATGAAGAATAACCGTCTGCTGGGCTGATCAGAATTAACATATAGGAAAAGTATCGAATTACTCCACTCCGTATCAATCCGGAATCTTTGCTCCATTACTATTTCCATTAGTAATGGATACTTACCGTAAATGCTGCAGTTTCTCTGTGATCTGATTTTAATGCAAACATTCCCCGTCAAGAATGCTTTTGTGAAAGCGCGCGTGCGGCACATAGACGGTCGACGAGAATATTAAGGAGGCACCGGCACCCTCTCCTCGCGGCTTTTGTCGGTTGTCTTTCATGTGTCTATTTAATGTGATAAAGTACATTGGTATTGAAATACAGAGCGAATTTCAATAAACTCGTATTTCATCGGGATAGCCTCTTTGACGGAATGGCTGTGACGTTAATCCTTCATATAATGTTTTAAGAAGCTTTGCAAAATTCAAGCACGAGATTTGTATCACGTAATGCAAAGGACTCTCAAAAACAAATTTTTGAGATTTGT